TTTTTTGACAATTAAAATCAATTTAAAACAATAAATTTTAATCATTATCTAAAATATTATATCAAATCACTCACTTCGTTTGGTTCGTTTGTATCTGCTTACTTTTGTTTCTAATACATTCTCATTTCCTTTTATAATGCTTAACCATGATTGGTGGATTTCTCTACCACTGTTGGTATTCATTTTATTAGTTTGCCTAATTATATTTAAATGCTCGTACAGTTGTCTTTTATAATTATTTTTTTCCTTTTTTCTAATTTTTACTGTATTTAGATCTATTGTACAACCTTCTGAATTACAATGGTCCGATACTGCCGAATTTGCATATTTTCCTTTAATTGCTCTGATATGTTCACTTAATCTTATTTTTAATTTTCTTTTAGTTTCTCCTATATATGTTTTTCTTGGATTACAATTACAATCAAATGAATATACTATTCCTTTTTCCTCTGTTATATCATATTTTTCTTCTTTTCTGTAACATAATTGTTTTTTAGTTGAATTTATTTTTTCCGGTATTAAGTTGATTCTATTTTTAATTACATTTTTAATTCTTTCAAATAGTTTTGGGACATATTTTAATTTAATAAATTTTTTCTCTTTATCTATTAATTTTGGTTGTTTGTCATTATCTAGTTTCTTAATCCATTTTTTTATTATACATTTTGGGTAGTCGTTTAGAATAAACATTTTAATTATTTCTTCTTCTTGTTTTTGCATTTCTATTTCACTTGTTCTTTGCCTTATTTTAGTCACATACATTTTAAATATATTATATTTCATGCTGACCAGAATTACAGATTTATAGTTGATTATTTTGGGTATTTGTATTGGTTTGACATATTTCTTATAAATTAATCTATTATTTTTTCTTTCTATGGTTATATCTAAGTAATTTATACTATTCTGTTGTTCTTTTTCTAACTTAGAAAAAGAACAACAAATGTTGCTGTAATTGTATTAGACATTTTAAATAATACTTAAATTTTTATTTATTAAAGAATACCAAATCCATTAAAAATAATAATAATGAGGTTTGATATTTAAAAAACTTGGTAATTTTAAATATATTTTTAGGTAGGAATAAATGTCCCAATTCCTGTTCCATTACCCATGTTTTCATTTACTGGTTCAAGAGGATCGTTTCTTGGTGACACAAATTTTTATGGAAAAGCAGTAAGTTATGTAACTAAATAAATATTTTAATTTATTCAAAATATAAAATTTTGATATAATATTGTTAAATAAAAGAAATGAATAGAAAAGTAAAATTTTTTGAAAATTATCTAAAATTGTAGTTCATTCATATATTGTGTTTTACAGATAAGAAACAAGTATATAAAATTTTCATAAATGCATTATAATTTATTAGATGGAAAGATACATAACATTTAATAAATAGTATAGCTTGCTTATATGTATGTATAATAATTAATGAAAAGTGAAGACTAAGTTTTAGTTAAATATAAGGATTTTACCTTTAAATTATTTTTAAATTGATTCAAGACTTAAAAAACTAAGTGAAGTTTCCTGTAATTTTGACAATTCTTATATAGAAAGAGTTGCTTCAATACAGCAAATTACTGATGTAGGGGTTTTTACATCTTTAAAGAGGTTTTTGACAAATACAAAAAAACCTTATATGGTAAACTTAAATTTAACTTATTCAACATAATATTTTAAAGAAAATTCAATTGTATTATGGAATTTTCATAGAGTTCTGAAAAATTCATGGGAATAACTGTTCCTCTAAAAAAATTTCTAAATATAGGAAAAAATATTTTTTGATTTGTTATTAAAAGAAATACTTTTGCATTAGTTTTATTCAAATTAAATAAATATTTCTATATGAAAACCGTTTTTATAGAGAAATTAAAACTGTTAAAACTAATTTTCATATTTCTATATGAAAATTACTGCTTGACTTGCTCAATTTTGAGGCTGATTTTATCCTCTGAAAATGTGTCATAAATTCATAATTTTATATCATATATTAATAATTCTGTATTTTACTTCTTAATGATTTCTTAGACTGCTTTTAATATATTTTACTTGCTGCATAATTTTATTACAGGAACTTTCTAACAAAGAAACTTATACACCAAACATTTTTCAATTTTATTTTATTAAACTTTATTTTAATTTAAAAGTTTTAGTAAATATTTACTTTTCGTTGTACAAAATTCGTTTTTGAGTCTAATTTTTCCTAGCTAAATAAACATAATTAATTAACTTCTGTTATTTTGTTTTAATAAATGAATTCACAATTAAATTAGATTTAAAATTTATTATGTTGTTATTTTCAGGGTTTGAATTTTTACACCCAACTTAAAACTGTGACGCAATTATGGAGAGAGCAGGATGCTGGTCACACCAAAGCTGCCACTGCTATGCCAGTGATGAGATAAAAATACAACAAAACATTCACTGTTTACCCTAGTCTTCCTCATTCCAGGCAAACAAAGTGATAATTATCAGAAGAGATTATGAAATCACAAATTTTCTGCAAATATTTCATTGTCTCTATTGCACTATATGGAAATAAATTATATATATTTTTAGGGTTTGTTATAATTTTAATATTTGATAAATTTTATAATTTGATCTGATTAATAATATAGTTTTTATTTTATTACAACAATTTTCAATGGAAAGTTTCCACCAAATTTTTGAAAGTAAAAGCTTATATGGAATAGTATATCATTTATATACTAGTCACATATTAATAATTCTGTATTTTCTTCCTTACTGATTTATTAAATTACTTATCAATATATATTATATAATACATAATTTTATTTATTGGTTTTACAACAAAATTATATACAGTAGACCCCTAATTAACCAGGGTTCCACATTATCTGAGGTGAACCCGTAAGTGAATAGTGAAGTTTACAAATGTTCGTAGATCACACAATTGGCGACCAACTGGGTGCGCCAAATAACATTAACAAAGTTCACATAATTCCAATATGCTGATCTCCGTTCGTTCAGAAAACACCTTAAGACGAATCGACGAGTTGTCGGCTACAAGTATCCTTCTTCCGGCGGTCGAAGAACAGACGGCGAGATAATCCAGACTCGATTTGAACTTTCAGGCACACTTGAAGTTCCAAACCAAACTTACTCGTTAGACAAAACTGATGTATACCCCGAAGTTCCTGTGTTGAAGCGAACTTATGTATACCTAAAGTTTCTAACCAAACTTAAATCCCCCGTTTCGACATTAATTAACCCTTTTATACAGTAATTAGTTTGAAAAAATTGCATTCACAATAAAGTATAAAATAATGAAAGAAAACACAATTATAAATTGATTCTTAACATATTAATTTCTTTTGACGAATTGTAAACAATGCATTTTTTCAATTGAGTTGAAATTATCATAACCGAATTGAACTGTTGACCGACTAGTTGTAAAATGTGTGATAATCAGAAAGATTGTAAGGAGAGATTTTTAATGTCCTCCTTTACTTATAAAGAAGGACATTAAAAAGCTTTGTGACTTAAAGAAATTTAACTTTTTAAAAACTTAATTATAAAATGAATTACACTTTACGCCTACATTTAAATATGTAAAATAAATACACTTAGCGTTACTTTTGCGACTGTTTAGAGCATAAAAGGCGCTCGCTAGTACTTTCAATAGCATAAAGCTACCATCTTCGGGTGAATATCGTATACGAATATTTTTCAAACGATTAGCATTCGAACAAAGCTATGAAAATAAGTGGTGCTCGTGGATTTTGGAATACGCAAATTGAATTTAAAAGATGTTCTAGTGTGAAAAGCATTGAGAATGTTAATATATTCCCCAAAATATTAAATAAGCAATTGAGTGAACGGTACGAACACCAGATAAGAGAGTAATTTGAATTATAAATCAAATTGCTCGAATAAAGATCCACAATTGTGGAATTTCAAGGGTAGGCACGTTGCACGGTGTTATAGCGGCAATATATAGGTTCTCCCGTACGAACGATTCTTTACGATCGTTGCACCGTTCGAGTAATCCGGTTTGGGCCCAGAGGGGGAACCGTACCAAATTTCGTCTCTAAGTTCAACGATTTGCTCCCAGCAATGATGAATCGATCGGTCATTCAGTCGGGACACGTGATTTTATATACTTTTATAAATGAACTTATTTTCGATAAGTGTTGCCAATTGTGATTGAAAAATAATCGTGGCATTAGTCAGTACATAGTTAAAATAAAATTTTTTATATAAATATTACCTACGTCATTTGGCATATTTTCAGACTTTTGTTATAGATTGGCATTTAAAACAGAGTCGAAGTTAATTTTCTTGATATTATTTGAAATCTTTCGAACGTTTCGGGCGATCAGCGGCGTAACGTTCTTCGAAATAAATTCGAATCTTCTAAAGCTTCGTCGGTTCTGAAAATATCTTCTGTTTTTGTCTAATTTAACAATGTTTTTACTGAAAACAATGAGCGATTTGCAGCGTAGAAGCGTAAGTACAGTAGAGCGTCGTTTATCCGAATCAATTGGGGACGAGTCGTTCGGATAACCGATTATCTACGAAAAAATATATTAACCTATCCCGTGTTGAAATTTTTCTCCGTTGCGTGTCGCTTCGCGTTGAATTTTCATCGANGTCATAACTAGCAACATCCATTGTTCTTTGCAGAACTTGCATCTCATCTTGCAAAAAGGTTGATAGTTAGCATTCAAATGTCGTCGTTTGTTATAGATCCCTGGAACACCTATAACCCCTAACCTATGAACATCCGATCACGTGATGAAAAATCCCCACTAAAACGGATAAAAGGCTGTTCTTACCCCCTCTCAGGGGAGTCTATTACCGAGCGCAGGATTAACAACATCGCGCCGATCTTCTAAACGAGCCGAATTCCGATCTCTGACGAACCTCGAAAGAAATAAGCGCGAAAGTCGCGATTTGATATAATTTGTGCCGTATTTGTGGATTATTCCTTGGATTGATATTTTAAAGGCATCCACGTTCAGATCTGGTCCTCGTAGGAGGGTGTGGGTTCGAACCCCACTCCTGACACCACTTTGTGAATACGGGGGCGTAAGGCTCCCGCTCTATAGTCAGGATAAGAGGTCAACCGAGTGTGAAGAGAGGTGATTGGGGTCGACGATAAGGTGAAGGGCGAGATCGAGTAAAAGAGTCTACCATTATTTTAACGAATATAAAATAACAATTTATTAAAGAATAGGCAAAATGACAAAAACTACACAAAGCTCTATACCGTCAGAGAGTTTTTATACGACAGAGAGAGTTTCACAGTGGTTTCATACCTCTTATAGCCGTCCACTTTGACGATTCTGAACGTGGATGCCTTTAAAATATCAATCCAAGGAATAATTCACAAATACGGCACAAATTATATCAAATCGCGACTTTCGCGCTTATTTCTTTAGAGGTTCGTTGGAGATCGGAATTCGGCTCGTTTAGAAGATCGGCGCGATGTTGTTAATCCTGCGCTCGGTAATAGACTCCCCTGAGAGGGGGTAAGAACGGCCTTTTATCCGTTTTAGTGGGGATTTTCCATCACATGATCGGATGTTCATAGGTTAGGGGTTATAGGTGTTCCAGGGATCTATAACAAACGACGACATTTGAATGCTAACTATCAACCTTTTTGCAAGATGAGATGCAAGTTCTGCAAAGAACAATGGATGTTGCTAGTTATGACTGGAAAGTTTACACAATCCCGGGCAAGATCGTTTTTTCTACTAGGGCGTTACATAAACGAAAGTTTAATTAATTAACAATTTTGTTAATATAAGAACAATATTTCCGTCACCAAAATTCCGGATCTCACACATTGCATAGGGTCAGTAATTTGTGTATAGGGTCTGCAACAATTTTCTTAGATTTTCAATTTAAAATGAAGAATCAGGTTATGATTTTCATAATTTAAGTTAAACATTTTTAGAAAGTAAAAGAATAAGAGTGCTAAGTGCAGTATATGAGCAAATAGTTTCAAAATTAAAACATTTGAAGTGTTAACCCATTTTACCGATGCTGAGTTAACATAAAATTTATTTTTGTTTTCACAGAAGAAATAAGTTTGTTATGAATAACTATATATATTATAATGTTTTTATTATGAAATCTTATGCTAAAATTTGCAAAGCTTAAAAATAGTTTCCACTATTTAACACTTCATCAAATAAAGATATAAAAAAATAATTTAAATGTTTATTTTTAATTTTTGATAAAATTTATATATTTAAAGCCTTCAATGAAATGTTATAAAGAAGAAATTTTTGGCCCAGTACTAATTACAATGAGTGTAGACACAATAGATGATGCCATTTCTATCATAAATAACAATCCATATGGCAATGGAACTGCCATATTCACAAGTAATGGTGCCACAGCTAGGAAATTTACTCAAGAAATAGATGTAGGACAGGTAAGATCTTTTGATTCAGAGTAATATACTGAGATAGAAATACATTTTATACTAATAAAAGATATTTTTAAATGATTTGTTTTAAAAATTATTTAATATTACAGGTAACCCCGTATAACACGGGAGTTACATTCCGAAAAATTGCCGTGTTATGCAAATTCGTGTTATACGAAACAAAGAACTAGTGCGAAAGGGGGGGTTAGGTTCCAAAAATTAAAAAACATGCTGTTAAATCCTTATTTAAATCGAATTTATTATTCATTTTTTTCATAGGTAAAGTACTTATTTATTATTTAAGTAAATATTTTACCAGAGAATTCATCCTATATGATGATCTCAGCATGAGCATCATCAACTAGTAACAGGTTTTGGGTGCGTTCGTTAATAGCGGTCGCTCTGCAACGGGAGTGCGCCGCTGTTTGTCGGCATTTCGGAATGATGGTAAAAGAAAGATGACGGCACCTGCACTATCGATAGTATCGTGATGGAGGAATCTATAATTCTAAAATGAGCTTTTAGAGGCAAAAGAAGGGTCCCAATTGTAAAATATAACCATTAAATGGATTATTTGTTGAAAGAACATTCAAAGTAGCCATGAAAACAATTAGAATGCTTGCGCGGAGTTAGGCGGAAGTATAGAAGAACGCACCCTTTATTACATTTCATGTTGTACGAGGGTTTTACCCAATTCCCGAACCATGTTAGAGTGAACCTGTGTTATACGGGAGATGTTCCCAATTCTCGAACCGTGTTAGAATGAATTTGTGCTATAGAAGTGCCATGTTATACGGGGGTTACCTGTATTTGCATAATAAGTAAAAACAATTATATTGTAGAATAAAATAGAGATTTTTTATTTAAGATAGAAAAAATATATAAATAAAATTTTGTTTTCTGGAGTAAGAAAATTTAAGTAAGATTTGAATGCAATTATAGAAAGTTTTTTCTACAACTGCATTCATTTACCTATTTTAACCACCCTGCAGTGACTGATGGATATATCCGTCAAGGGCGATCGTGTGGCTCTGGTGAACGATGGATATCCACAAAAGAATTTGCAGATATAGCTGAAAACTAGCCAAAAACTACCACCAAAAAAAAATTCACATAAAAAAGGAATTATGTTACAATAAAAAAAGACTTTTCTTTACTAGACATAACTGTTTACAAACTTTTTTTCAAAACGGTAATGAGAAAAAACACGTGGAAAAATACTTAAAAATTTCCCATGTTTATTCTCCACTACATAGAGATAGCACCATAACTGACTAATCCACTGCAGAAAGGTTAATAACCATAAATATTTGAATTACTTTGAATTATAGAAGATTTTCATTTTTTTATACTAATAGCTTTGTATTCATATTAATAAATAAAACTAAACTAGCTGGAACATTTTAGGACATTCATCTTGTTGATATCTAGCAAGTAGATTTGTCTGAAATCAAATTTTTATTGTGTAACACAAATTTTTTTCTTCTATTTTAATTTATATAATTTATTATTCTAAACTGTATTTAAACAATAAATTTGAAAATTTTTCCATTTTTATTGAGTAAAGAGTTCATCAAAAACTAACAGTTGCATCTTATTAGATTATTTTTTAAATTGAGAGTATAGTGTGGGATGATCATAATTAATTAAAGAGTTGATGTTTAGAGATAATTTACCAACAAGCTGGAACAGTTGACAATAACACAACCACATACCATAATACTTACTCTAGTATATAATGTTTAATGGAATTACAAATGTTTTCAACAGCATTAAGAGGCCTTCCTCAGGTAAATAAAGCTATTCCACAGATAGAACAAGAATCAACATATTCAAAAATGGAGAAACATTCCAAACAGAACTTGATGTGATTTGAAAATTACAAGATAAAATAAATGACAAAAAACTGTTACCTTTACAGATGATAAATAAATGAAATTGAGTAATATGATTTTGTAAAATTACCAGGATAGTAATTGTAAAATTGACAAACAGTTAATGACTATACAATAAAGAGTCTTCCTTTGTTCTTTTTCACATCTCAGGAAAATAAGTCTCATGGTAGAGTTGACCTTTCATTAGAGGCTTAGCAAAGTGAGGCAGACATGCAGCTTCTAATAAAAACATTGACTCTGCCATAAGACTGTTATTTTCCTGAGGTGTGAGAAAGGACAAGGGAAGACTCTTTATTGTATAGTCTTTACTTGTTTGTTAATTTAATTTTGAGTAATATGAATTTTAAAAATAAAACATATTAAAAATAGTGTAGGAACAGAAGTTAAATGAATGTTAAACAAATGTCTCACAGACATACAATTAAGACTACATAGAATGTACTGTCATGTTTGATGTAAAAAAATGTTATCATTATTGATGCAACCTCCATTGAGTATAACTTTATATATTTCTATAGTCTCAACTGTTTGTAATTTCTCTGTATCCAAATATCTTTCACAAAAGCCTAGCTTCATTCCAAAAGTGGGACACTGCAGTTTTGACATGTATTTGGCAAGTGCTGTAGCGTAATTATGTTTGGAGATATATATCATCTTTATTTTAGCTTTTTTCCATGTTTATATGGGGTCAACATTCTCATCTTTAATCTGTCTTCTTCACTTCTCTCTACCATGGTGTCTTCTTGTAGCTGTACACCATATAGTCTGCTTTTCTTTTTGTTCTTCTTCCCTTTAGTGGGAAGGAAAACTGACTGAGTATGGTGTTATTAATAGCTTTTTTATACTGCTAGTACTTTCAACAAACTTATGATCGTCATCTTCAGGCAAACAAAAATTCCCTTTAGCACTTTTCTCCATTCCTCTAGCTTCTTCTCTACCTTATCTCATAATGTTTTGCATGGCACAATGTTGTCTGCAAACAGCATACTCCATGGTGCCTTGCTATTCACATCTTCCACCAATACATCCATCACCAAATCAAACAGAAACAAGCCGAGGGCTGAGCCCTGGTGTAGTCTCAACTCTTGTGGGGAATCCCTCTGTCATACCTACAATATTCTTTACTTAGTCATTGCTCCCTTATACATTTTCTTTACAAGTCTTACATACTTTTCTGGTATTCCCTTTACCCTCATATCTCAATACCTCCTGTCCCTCACTTTTGAAATCCTTTGATGCTTTATCCCTTGTTTTTGAAATTATCATCATTTATTCTTTTCTTTCCAGTTCCTCATAGGCCTTATCCACCATCTTTACATTTCTATGTTGCTATTTACTGTTTACCATACCATATTATAAATGTAATGTTCATGTGTTGCGTATCAAGCAACTGTTCATTAACAACCATATTAACTGTTTGGTGATCAGAAAGTGAAATTTTATGCATTTTAAACATCCTAATATGGTACGGTAGACCCCCCTATAACATGGGTTCCTATAGTTCAGATTCCTATATGATGGCAAAAAAATTGCGACAGTTTAATTAATTATGTCTTTTTTTTGTCCTTTTTTTATAACTCTATTTAAAATTTATTTTGTATTACAAGTACAATCTATATATTAACAGGACTTATTATACTGGAATTATGGATGCAGATATTTAGTCTTACAGTTCAAAAATAATGTTCTTTATTTAGTTCACCTGAACACATACACTTTAAACATGTGTTTTGGACTTGCTCGTCCCTCTTCAGCAGGCCTTCCAACGACACTTTCTATAATTAACAACAATCAACAATAAAAACATTTTCGGTACAATTATCACTAAAACTAGTTAAGAACACAGACATTTCCCGACAATAAATATTTAAAAATTCTTACAATTTCTGTATTGCCTATCTTCACTATCCTTCCACCTACACTTACTATCCACAGCAACCATACGATTTGACACATTCCTAATTTTTTTGACAATTAAAATCAATTTAAAACAATAAATTTAATCATTATCTAAAATATTATATCAAATCACTCACTTCGTTTGGTTCGTTTGTATCTGCTTACTTTTGTTTCTAATACATTCTCATTTCCTTTTATAATGCTTAACCATGATTGGTGGATTTCTCTACCACT